AGTATATTAAAAACAAGCCTGTTAAAGACTTAAAAGGTGATCAGTTTCTGCGCATGTGTAAGGCAGAGGAAGATGGTCTACTGACAATTTCAATTGGAATCGACCTGGACAAGAGTGCAGGGTATAATAATAATTATAATAATTATAATAATGATGATGATGATGATGATTTAGAGGTAGGACATCCACAAAGTGGTTCTTTGTCTACCTGATTCCTGTTTGAATTGGAATTTTGGAAATGTTGGGTTTTGAAAAGAGGGGAAAACCGGATTACCGGGAAAAAAACCTCTTGGAGCAAAGGAGAGAACCGACAACAAACTCTACCCACATAATTATGGCATCAACAACGGGATTTCAACCCAGGCCACATTGGTGGGGGGTGAGTGCTCTCACCACTATGCCATCCCTTGCTCCCCATATTTTGAGGCAGAAATCTTTAATTCTTAGTACAGGCGAACTTCCCATAAGTGACCACCCAAAATGTGAAGATTTAGTGGTTAGCTATAGGAGGTGGTCACTTAAGAGAATCAAACTACAGAAATGTCAAAAAAGGTTACGGAGACATTACATATTATATTACATGTACTTTCAGTTGGTAAGCTACAATATCTGTAGTTCCATGTTTTTTCAGTTTCTAAGTTACAATAATATATCTGTAGTTCCATGTTGTCAATAAAAGCTCTTCGCACACTTTTAGTCAACCCTCCAAGTTGCGACCATTTTGGTCACCATGGCGCCTAAAATTTTGCAGCTGGTGCCTTGATTTGTAAAAAAGTCTCCCTAAACCAAAAGAGTTGGTTGCCAAATGGCGACCAAGCAAAAACTTTAACTTGAAGGGTTGTTAATAGCATTTATGATAGTACATGCTGCAAAAAAAGAGGGAGAGAGAGAGATCAGAACATGTGTCTATTGGTCACCTACAAGAGGTTAAACACAATGGAAAATTATAAAACTGTCAGCCCAAAAAGTGATTGTGTTCCTTTATGAGTGGTTGGAACTTACAGGGCTTTGACTGGGAAAATTTTGGTGCTGTGGATAGATGGTAGAGGAGGTTGCATGTGGAGATTTGACTGTAGGAACAATAATTATGCTTATTTCTTGAAGAACTGAGCATTATTTTATTTATATTTTATTTTGTCTTAAAAAAGACACTTGCTATTGCTTATATGTGTTTTCAGATATCAGACTTACTTCGATGAAGTAAAGCAACTTTATTACAGGGTGAGTGGCAAGAACATGTTTTGCTCAATAGCCATTGTGTTGTTTTATCAGCTTACGGCTGTAGTCCTTCTATACACAGCATTAAATCATAGTCACGTCTTCTTTTAGACTGCATCTTATTGTTCAGGCGTACTGAGAAAAAAAAAGAAAATTCATTCCTAAACCTGTCATGGTCTCATCTTAACAATCAAACATTATTGTTGAACATCTTGTTTGTCAAACACAACATGGGATACCGGTGGATAAACAAGAGAAAGCGTTTGACCATACATTGAACAAAGTGAGCTGATTTTTATTATATAAACACCAATGAAATACCAGACGAGCTTTCGCACGAAAACTTGATATCTTTGCATGTGAAAATATCACCATTGCTATAGCTACATAATAAATCGCGCCTTTCACACCAAAAAACTATTAAAGTGAAATGGTTTGGTATTTCATTGTTTATAATAAATAGAACATTACATATGGCTGCTTGGAGGTACGAAATTTCTCTTCAAGTGTTGAAATATATTTCACGAGTGAGCACAGCAAATGAGTGAAATATTTTTTCAACATGAGAAGAGAAATTTTGTATCTCCACACAGCCATGTAATATCCTCTATGTAATAGTATGCATTACCATCAGGAAATTGTCATAAAAATGTTTCCCCTCATTTTTCAGGATGAATTTAGTCATCTGGTGCAAGAGTGGAACACTCAGAGGATGAATGCTTTGTCGCGGGCCTTTAACCAGATGCTTTATCCACTATTTGAGAAGGAACTTAAGCTCAAACTTTTAGAGGAAGCCAAGAATTTTGTGGTTAAGGTGAGTTTGTCACTGTTTTTGGAGCAGACAATCTGAGATCAGGAGTGCTTAACATTTACACAAACCATGAGGGTGGAAATCTTGTGTATAGACATAAAACAGATCAATTAAGTTTCTGGGAAACTGCCCACCAACCCCTCCCCTAAGCCAACATTTTTCCCTAAGTGAGAAGTAAGTGTTAGTGTAGTTTTAGGGGAGGGGTAGGTGGGCAGCTTCCCAGAAACCTAAATTGATGCCATAAAACTATAGAATTTAATGTGGTGGGAGAATGACCCGCTACAAAGTATATCCAAATTATCCGAACAGACTAAAATGATTAGAAAAATTGCATCATCTTAAATCATAGCATTTTCTGATGCTTTCCGAACAAGATAACGTAAACCATTTGATTTTCCAACCGGAATTTCCAGTTTTCCCATGTAAATGGCAAGTAGACTAGAATTGCGAGCTTCTCTAGTTGCACGCAATAATACGCTCTGGGTTTTCAAAACTGGGAAAAAGATGTCTGATTTCTGTTTTTTTGTTTTTTGTTTTGCTTTAATGTTACCAGTCATGCTGCCGCAAGCTGAGGTCATGGATTGAAGTTGCTCCGTATCAACCTGAGCAGCAGGTAGATGAACAAGACTTTGATGACAGGACAAACTCTGATGGGCTGTGGGTGCTGTCATGTTCCATCTCACCCAACCCTGATACCCCTGCCTTCTTGGCCATGTTAGATGGCGGAGGACAGGTGACGGACTACCTCAGACTCAAATATTTGCTGAACAGGAGAAATGCGACAAGAGCCAAGGAACGTGAAGATAAGGTTAGCCATCTCCTTTGTTTTGGTTGTTGATGTTCTAATAGTGGCCAAACAAAACAAAAAAAAATTTCTTTTTGTTAAATGATGAGAAATAAAATTTTAATAGTATTATGCATAAGTTCTGGAAAGGAGGTTTCATTTAAATGGTAGCATCATCACTTTTAATAATTTTTTTTTTGAAAGTCTTGCCCTTATCTTTTATTACATGTACTTTGACCGTCTTTGAAAAAAATGTGAGATGTTGCTAATAATTCTGCACCCGTAAATATCAAGGAGGTTTTACTAGGATTTCTGATGTGCACTCATATACTACCCCATCTTCGCTCAACAGTGACTTCTTACTAGACACTCAAGACTCAGAAACTCACCAAAATATAATACTTTTGGCTTCTGGTAAAACATAAGGGATTACTGATTTCTATCTTATGCTACCTGCAAGCAGATGCAACAACTCCCAACATTGTTGGCCGACAATATTGGGAGTTGTTTTGTCTGTTTGTAGTAGGTAAAAGATTGACCGGTTTCAAACGTTGTGCAACAACACGCAACAACATACAACAGGGTGTGCAAACGATCGCAACATGTAACATCCAACAATGTTGGGAGTTGTTGGCCAATAAAGTTGTATCTGTTTGCACGGGGCTTAAAAGTTACAGAAATCAGCAATTAATTAAAATAAAATTAGCTCAGGAACTCTGTCTAGTCAAAGTATAAACCTGCATAATGTGGTTTATGAGTGACAGTCTGTGGTCATGAGAACAAGGAATCCAAATAACAAAAAGAAATAAGTTCTACAAAATGAAATTTGGAAATGTTGTTGCATTTATTTCTTACTTTAACCACTTTTGGTAGTGAAAGGATTTAAAAATTAATGCGATCGTGCTGTGTTTTCATAGGAAAAGGATATGGCAACTTTGAAACAGTTCATCCTGAAGAAGCGTCCACAGGTTGTGGTTGTCGCAGCTGAATGTCGTGAGGCACTCTCTGTGGTAGATGACATGAAGATGTGCATTGCAGAACTGGAACAAGAGAATCAGATTCCGACCATCTCTGTTGAGGCGCTTGATGGAGAAGTGGCTCGCATTTTCACGTCCTCTCCCCGATCCGAAGTAAGTTACATGGAATAGTACTGTTTTTTGTTTTGTTTTTTGTTTTTTGAGACCGGCTTAACCTTCCTTTTAGCTGAATAGCGCGTCCCCAGTAACGATCCCAGAATTTTTTGTGAAAGCTAACTTGACCCATAATCCTTCTCGTTTTTTTAAGTGGTGGATTGGCAGCAGAGTAAAGCAAAACAAAATACATTTGATTAAATTTATCTTTTAAGACTTGTTTTTTATGATTCTTATTTCCAGAATGAGTTTCTTGAGTACCCATCCCTGCTGCGTCATGCAGTGTCACTTGGTCGAAGAATTCAAGATCCTCTCTCTGAATTTGCTGCCTTGTGTGTTGAGGAAGATGAGCTCCTTTGTTTAAGGCTGCATCCATTCCAGGTATGATCCCGGACCGCCAGATGACAAATGTAAGATAGGTATTATATGTTTTATTATCAGTCTGATTTTAGGTTGAAGATCACTTCAGGTGTTAACTGAAAATTATTAAATGATCTGTAGTTTTCACGTTGAGAGTGCTGTGTGTAAATTAAGAAATCTTTTACCAAGGTTGGGGCGCAAGTTTGAGACCTTAACATGTTTCTTTTAGTACAGTGTGTGTTGTGGTTTTATAGTAAGACGCAGTTGATGCAAATCATCATCATCATCAACAACAACAACAACAACAACTGGACAACTTATTTGACTTATTGAAATATCTACCAGCTTTGTTTTGACAAGGATTTCCTGATACCTCGAGAAAAGGAACCACCAGGCTTATGGGAGCTGACCTTCAAACCTTGGGATAAACTGCTTACTTTGTCCCCAGTTTTCTTTTCCTTGTTCCCTTTTGGCTCTTCTGTATTTCTTTGGTGTCCTACAGTTTAAAGTATTGTTTTAATGTGTCGGTCAATTATGTGGTACAGTAGACTGTATTAGACGGTATCACATTCCCCTCGATCGGCCATTTGGTTTCAAGTGCACCAAGTCTACTAAGGGGACGGGGGACGGTTTGGGAGGAGGCGAGAAACCCCGGGGCACGCCCCCCTGCCCCCCGGTACATTTGAAAGCAAGATGACCTGTAAGCGCTCGATTCCGATGATCTTTTTGAAAAATAGGGGACTGTGAACATTCTAATTACATGACGGTTGATTAGCGCTGCAATGAGCTAACATTGCGTGACCTTCCTCTTTGAATAAGCAGCCCGACATGATTAGAGTTTGGTTATTCTGGGAAACTGCCCACCCCTTCCTTAATCCAGTGTTAACTCTACCTCTCGCCAAAGAGAAAATGTTGTGTTAGGGGAGGGGTAGGTGGGCATTTCCTAAGAAACGTGTGGTTTTTGTTTTAGGACCACGTACCCAAAGAGCGTCTCATCAAGTGCCTTCATGAGGAATTCGTGACAGTGGTAAATGAAGTAGGCGTTGACCCAAATCGCTTACTGGAGCATCCCCACACAGTGGCTCTACTACAGTTTGTTTGTGGACTGGGACCAAGAAAGGCCACTTCTCTATTGAAGGTACATTCTTTTACCAAAGTTACTTTGAATTGGGTGGTATCAGTGGTAGATCCAGAAGAGGGGCCCACGCTCCCCGTTATTTTTAGACCCGCAGGGTCGAGGAAAAATGTTTTGGAGACCGGGGCCCCCCTTATCTCAATGTCTGGATGACCGACCTCACCTCCCCCTCCCAAACTGTACATATGTTTTGTCAAAAAGCCACTTACTCTTACTCGCAAGATTTCCTGGAAGGCAACGCTGAGTGAAAGTTTCGTTTTTTTTTTCTTTAAAAGTACATAAAATCAAAAAGCACCCAATAAAGGAGTACTGAAGGGCGAAAAGTTAAGGTTTATGGACTGAGTTGGTTGCGTCCATTTACTTCTGTAATAGCCAAAGAGAAAAGATGGCATTTCAAGCAGAACTAAATAATCAGCTGGTGCAATTACCAAAGAGGTTTCATTTAACTGGTAAATCAACAGGATTTTATTCCCAGACTCCAAAGTTAGAACCACTGCTGAAGAGGTTTCATTTTAATGGTAACACCATAGGATTTCATCCACAGACTCCAAAGTTAGGACTACATACTAAATAAAATAATAGTACCACGTGAATGTACTGCTGAAGAGGTTTCAGTTGAATGGTAACACCATAGGATTTCATCCACAGACTCCAAAGTTAGAACAACATACTAAATAAATAGTACCACATGAAAGTACTGCTGAAGAGGTTTCATTTGAATGGTAACACCATAGGATTTCATCCACAGACTCAAACGTCAGAACTACATACTAAATAAATAGTACCATGTGAATGTACTGCTGAAGAGGTTTCATTTGAATGGTAACACCAGAGGATTTCATCCACAGACTCCAAAGTAAGGATTACATTACATGTCGTGATATTAGCGACCCCGAAGTAAAAGGTTTGATTCAATGGTGTGGTGGGGATGAAAGTTGCCTTTAGATTCAAGCTTAGGCAGATTTGGTTGCTGTGTTACGGATAGAGGTCAGAAGCCTCCAAAAGAAGTTCTTTTCAAAACGTTGTAGTTAACAGGGTAGTTAATTACGTTTTGCTGTGGAGTTTGTTTTGAGAATCACTTTTTAAACTTTTTTTTTTGTCAGAGTTTAAGGCAGCAGTGTACCAGGTTGGAGAATCGCTCGCAGCTGGTGACCGTGTGTGGACTGGGCCCTCAGGTTTTTCTAAACTGTGCGGGATTCATTAAGATTGACACAGCAGCCATCAGCGACACAACTACAAACTACATAGAAGTGCTTGATGGGTCTAGAGTACATCCTGAAACATATGAGTGGGCCAAGAAAATGGCTGTTGACGCGCTCGAGTATGACGAGGTAACGAAATTAGCCTGCGTGGAAGTTGCGTGGCAACTGTTGGGAATTAAGGCGCGGGAGGAAGGAGGAAGGGGGAAATTCCCTTCCTTCCTTCTTTCCTTCCTTGCGCGCCTATCGCGTTCTCGCGCGATGACTGTTGACGCGCTTGAGTATGATGAGGTAGCGAAACCAGTGTGACAGCAATTTGAAGTTGAAAAAGGGGAATTAATACGCGCGAGTAAGGAGGAAGGGGAAGTATCTTCCTCTCCTTCCTCGCGCGCTCAACGCGTTCTCACACGCGTTAATTGCCTCTTCCCTTCAAAAGCCGGCTATGTGGGCTATAAGTTTTACAGCTAAACGATATCGATATCAGCCAAAACGCAAAAGCGCAAATTGGCTTTTCGCGGACAACGCTGTTTTGTATGGAGTATTCAAAGATTGCAATGATGCAGAGTCACTACAGCAAGACCTAAACGCACGTGTACACTGGGCAGACACATGGCAAATGTAATTTAATGCAAAGAAGTGCACCATCCTTAGAGTCTTGTGCACGAAATCTCTAGTTGAATACCAATAATACACCATCCACGGAGAACCCTTGGAAGCTGTTGATCATCACAAGTACCTTGGAGTTGAGCTATCCAGTGATCTAAACTGGGATGTTCATATTGCTGGAATGATAGGCAAAGCCAATCAATCAGTTGGCTTTAAAAGAAGAAACCTAAATAAGTGCCCAGAAAACGTTAAAGAGCAATCCTATCTTGCTTTAGTTAGACCCTAGCCTATCTTCTGCCGTGATGGGATATCCCCTTTGCAGATAACATGATTAGAAGTAGAATTAGAAAAGCTTTAACCCAGCCAATGACAGAGATGTCGTTTTGATATTCTTAGCAGCTACAATCTCAAGTGAATTATTAACAAGGTTGTTCTCTACCTATTGAGCAGGCCACAATGGATTCAAACCCTTCAGCAGCCTTGGAAGAAATTCTTGAAGCTCCAGATCGGCTAAGAGACTTAGATCTCGATGCTTTTGCAGAAGAGCTTGAACGGCAAGGATATGGCAACAAGGGATTGACATTGTACGACATTCGAGATGAGCTGTTTGGTCAGTATAGGGAGCGACGCCCGCCGTACCGCTCCCTGTCAGTAGAGGAACGCTTCAGGCTGTTGACAGGAGAAACAAACGACTCTCTTTATGTTGGCAAGCTGGTGGTGTGTAATGTAACCGGGTTTGCGAACAGGAAGCCACCACGTGACGTTATTGATCAGGCCCAACCTGTCAGAAATGACGAGACTGGCCAATGGCAGTGTCCTTTCTGTCTACAGGATACCTTTCCCGATATCAGCGAGGTATGAACTCCACTCAGGTCGAATTTGGGGCACTCCCAGCCCCCGCCCCCCACCCCCCAAAAAGTAAAAATAAAAAACACTTGTCAGGAATGACAAGACTGGCCAATGGCAGTGCCCCTTCTGTCTACAGAACACTTTCCCCGATCTAATCAAAGTAGGAACTCCACACTGATAGAATTTAGTGCAGCCCCAACCTGTCGGGAATAAGGGCCAATAGCAGTGTCTCCTCTGTCTACAGGACACCTTCCCTGATCTTAGTTCTTAGTTCTTAGTTCAAAGCAACCCCCCACCCCACATTTCTGAGAGCCAGTTTATAGAGCGTTTTGGCATGACGTCACATCCGCCATGTTGGTGTTCCAAACCAATCCTGTAGTTAAGTAAACACTTTCTTTTGTTTCATTGAATTTGCAAAGCTGCTGTCTACGCGAGTGACTTTCTTTGGGTCTCCTACTGGAGACGAAAGTGGCCGCCATTTTCTGTAGTCATCCGAACCACGCGATGGTCTAGCCGTTTACAGGGAAAAGGCAGCACCTTCATCTCTCAGCTTTTTTAAGGTGATGTTACACGAGACGATTTGCAACGACGATTCTTAGCGCGACATAGCGTTGCAACATTGTTGCGACATTGTTTTGAATAGTTACTACATTGTTCCAGCATTGCAACGCTTTGTTGCGCTAAAAATCGTCGTTGCGAATCGTCCCGTGTAACATCACCTTTGAGACCATGACTATTGGTCCTGTCCCAGGAATCAAACCCGTGACCTTTCATTCTACCGTCAAGCTCTCTACACACTGAACTAATACTGCCACGTCCAACTGGTAGAAGGTTGGCTCTGTACGGCTGTGAGAAGTCTCGCAGAATTGTTAATTTTGAGCTGAGTGTGAACTCGAG